TAGTTGCTGGGATTTATAGTTCACCTACAATCGAAGAGCATTCTGAACCCCACCAAGGATAGAATTGGGCCAAACTTCCCACACAAAACCCCCATGACCAACAGAAAATACTGTGTGTTTCTGATGATCTTTGGTGACCCCTCTGACACCCCCTTCGCACCCCCCCCCAGGGGTCCTGACCCCCAGGTTGAGAAATGCTAGCCTATAACCTTCCACAAACCTTGCTTCTTCCCCAAGCCCTATGCAAGCATTTCATATCAAAATCCCAATCCACATATAAGCAGCCGTATGCCAATTAGATGGACCCCCCATGAAGGTCTGCTTCCAGGGGCAAACCAAGAATGGGCCACTTGGAAGTCCTTGAACAAACTCAGAAGTGGGGTGGGCAGATCAAAAGACAACCTGGCTAAATGGCACTACCTAGAAGAATCCTCCACCTTGTGCAACTGTGGAGCAGAACAAACAACTCTACATCTGTATGCTTGCCCACAACGCCCTGCCTCATGAACAAAGGAATGGGCAGATTAAAAGGTAACCTGGCAAAATGGAACTACCTAAAAGAATCCTCCACCTTGTCTGACTGTGGAGCAGAACAAACAACTCTACATCTGTATGCTTGTCCGCAATGTCCTGCCTCATGTACAGAGGAAGAATTGTTTGCAGCTACAGACAATGCAGTTGCTGTTGCCCGTTTTTGGTCAAAAGATATTTAGCCACTTGTGCTCTTTCTATTTTTTTATCAGTTTTATACTAATTTATGTAATGTTTTTAATACAAAATAAATAAAAGCTGTAGGGTTGTAATGCAACTGAGGTTGGCAGTAGAACTGGCACCCATTTTCAGCCCTAAAGGCGTTTTCCTTCTCTGGGGTTGATTTGACACTCAGGCGGGGACATGAGAGAAGCCTCCCACAAGGATGATAAAACATCCTGACATCCCCTGGGCAACGTCCTTGCAGACAGCCAGTTCTCTCATACCAGAAGCGACTTGCAGTTTCTGAAGTCACCGGAGCCCCCGGTGGCGCAGTGGGTTAAACCCCTGTGCCGGCGGGGCTGAAGACCGACAGGTCGCAGGTTCGAATCCGGGGAGAGGTGGATGAGCTCCCTTTATCAGCTCCAGCTCCTCAAACGGGGGTATGAGAGAAGTCTCCCACAAGGATGATAAAAACATCAAATCATCCGGGCATCCCCTGGGCAACATCCTTGCAGACGGCCAATTCTCTCACACCAGAAGCGGCTTGCAGTTTCTCAAGTCACTCCTGACACTATTTGCTATTCCAAGTCCCTTGAGATTTCCTCATGTATTCCACAAACCTTCCTCTTTCTTCACTCCCGAATCCCCATACGAGCATCTCAAATTAAAGCCTCAATCCTTGTACAAGCAACTCTGGGATTGTCGACGGCTTTCATGGCCGGAATCACTGGGTTGTTGTAGGTTTTTCCAGGCTATATGGCCATGTTCTAGAGCAGTGTTTCTCAACCTGGGGGTCAGGACCCCTGGAGGGATCACAAGGATGTGTCAGAGGGGTCACCAAAGACCACCAGAAAACACAGTATTTTCTGTTGGTCATGGAGGTTCTGTGTGGGAAGCTTGGCCCAATTCAATCATTGGTAGGGTTCAGAATGCTCTTTGATTGTAGGTGAACTATAAATCCCAGCAACTACAACTCCCAAATGCCAAGGTCTATTTTCCCCAAACTCCACCAGTGTTTACATTTGGGCATATTGAGAATTCGTGCCAAGTTTGGTCAGATCCATCGTTGTTTGAGTCCACAGTGCTCTCTTGATGTAGGTGAACTACAACTCCCAAAACTCAAGGTCAATGCCCATCAAACCCTTCCAGTAATTTCTGTTGGTCGTGGGAGTTCTGTGTGCCGAGTTTGATTCAATTCCACCCTTGGTGGAGTTCAGAATGCTCTTTGATTGTAGGTGAACTATAAATCCCAGCAACTACAACTCCCACAGGACAAAATCAGTACCCTCCCCCAATCCCACTAGTATTCAAATCTGGGTGTATTGGGTATTTGTGCCAAATTGGGCCAGTGTATGAAAATACATCCTGCATATTAGATATTTACATTACTCGTCATAACAGCAGCAAAATGACAGTTATGAAGTAGCAATGGAACAAATGTTATGGTTGGGGGTCACTACAACATGAGGAACTGTATTAAGGGATCGTGGCATTAGGAAGGTTGAGAACCACTGTTCTAGAGGCATTCTCTCCTGATGTTTCACCTGCATCTATGGCAAGCATCCTCACTACCTCTGAGGATGCTTGCCATAGATGCAGGTGAAACATCAGGAGAGAATGCCTCTAGAACATGGCCATATAGCCCGAAAAAACCTACAACTCTGGGGTCTTTTCTATAGATGTGGCTGGCAGTAGAATTGGCACCCATTTTCACCCGCTCTCCCTTTTTGCACCCATTCTCCCCTGCTCTGACCCACCTTCCTTTCCCCTCGACATTAATGCGCTAATGAATTAATCTATTTCTCCCTTCCACCCTGGTAAAGGTCATGGCAGCTAATGCTGACTCAGGGAACCGTAGCCCTTTCCGAAGGCCTGGCGCATGTGTTTCTGAGCTGTGAAATATGGGATGCATGCAAGTTGGAGGGAAAAACAGGCAGAAAAGACTTTGCTCCAAGTTGGGAAGAGATGGGAGAGTGTTGCAAAGCTTCCCATATATCCCTCCCTGTTGTTTTGAACGGAAAAACAGCCCTCCTTCTCCAAAGCCGTGGGATTCCCCGACACTCCTCCAAGTGGCACACCAGCCTGCCCTCCCTCCCTTCTTTCCTCCCCACTCCTGGAGCGTGTCGGGCGATTGATTTCCTCCTCGTGTTTATCGGATTCCACTTAGCCCGATCAGGGTTTAAAGCAGCGGAGGATTCCCTTCCCGGCTCCAGCCCCCCCAAAACCAGGTCGATGGCATTGATTCTGCCAGTAGCTCTAAACCAGACAAGGCGGGAGTGGGGAGACGGAGAAGCGTGGGGATTCCCATATTAAAAGAGGTTTCCTTGTTTTAAAGAGAGAAAAAAAAGAGAAGAAAAAGGACAGGGAAAGCAAAAAAGTGAACGAAAAACTTGCATGTCTCTTTCGCATTGTTTCGAAGTGATTTGGGGGGAGCGGGGTGCAACGCAAATGTCTTAGGGGTATCCAGTAGAGGTGGGCGCAATATTTGTTCCATTTGGGTATTCGTTTCGAACTGTCCATTTGGAATCCCACGAAACTAACGATTCTGGCCCAGCTTACTTATCCGAACGTATCTCCCTCTACGTTCCACCTCGTAGTCTAAGATCTGCTGGAAAGGCCCTGCTCTCGGTCCCACCGACTTCGCAAACACGTCTGGTGGGGACAAGGGACATGGCCTTCTCAGTGGTGACCCCCCAACTTGTGGAATTTGCTCCCCAGCAAGATTAGATCTTCGTTTTGTACTGTCCGTTGGATGGCACAAAACTAACGATTCCACCCCATAATACTTATCCAAACGTATCTCCCTCTACGTTCCACCTCGTAGTCTAAGATCTGCTGGAGAGGCCCTGCTCTTGGTCCCACCGGCTTCGCAAACGCATCTGGTAGGGACGAGGGACAGGGCCTTCTCAGTGGCAACCCCTCGCTTGTGGAATTCGCTCCCCAGTGAAATTAGATCAGCGTCCTCCCTCCTTTTCTTCAGGAAAAAAAAACTAAAATTGTGGTTTTGGAACCAGGCCTTTGGCTAGTGGATGCAACAGCACTTTGAACATGGAATTGGACCTGATGACTGTTACGATAATTGGAAATGGATATGTGATTATGCAATGATATAATTGTTACTTTTTAAACTTTTTATGTACTACTAGCCATCCCCTGCCATGCCTTGAAGTGGCCCACTCTAGTGGTCATGGGGGTTCTGTGTGGAAGATTTGACTCGAATTCTATTGTTGGTGGGGTTCAGAATGCTTTTTGATTGTACGTGAACTATAAATCCCAGCAACTACAAATCTCAAATGTCAAGATTCTATTTCCCCCAAACTCCACCAGTGTTCACATTTGGGCATATTGAGTATTCGTGTAGAGTTTGGTCCAGATCCATCATTGTTTGAGGCCACAGTGCTCTCTGGAAGTAGGTGAACTATAACTCCAAAACCAAAGGACACTGCCCACAAAACTTTTGTTGTTGTTGTTGTTATTATTATTATTATTATTATGAAAAGCAGGGAGGATTAAGCACCCTCCTTCCATTGAAACTGTCATATGTTCCATAGTTGATGGTGGTTGTTGGTGGTAGACCTGGCAGTTGGTGACAGAAGAGTTTATGTAAGTCTTGGTTCTAAAGGGCTGAGTAGTTTGTTAGTAACAGTTTACAGGTAAAAGCAATTAAGGGTTGAGGTATGCAGGGGATAAGTTGCAGCTGGGTGTTACTGGATTTAAGGAGCTAACCTTGGGACTGATCTTTGGGAGAAAAGTATTGTCATATTTTGGTGGTGGATGCTGCTGCTTTTCCCCCCAGGTCTGTTGGATTTTCGGTATCCTGACCTGTCTCCTGTAATCTTGGAACCCTGGAACCTTGAACCTTTGGACTGGCTTTTGACTACGGTATAGACTCTTGATCCCTGGACTTTGTTTATTGAACTCTCGGTGTTTGACCACTGGACTGGACCCTTTGACTACGGTGTAGCTTTTCCTATCAGTTTTTGTTTATTCCGTGGCTGAGTGCTAACTTTATGTTTTATATTTTGGTCTATTAAAACAGCCAGCAAGTACGTGCTGTTTTAATTAAACTGTTTGATAAAACTGGGAGTTTGGTTCATCTCTAGCTAAATAAGGCCGAGCCCTGGCAACGTGACAGAAACTGACCAGTAGCAAGGAGAAGGAGAAAGGAAACTCAACAAATTTTGAGAGGAAAAGGTGTCACCATAGATTTATTGTTATCAGATCTTTTGCCCCCGCTATCTCATATGTCGGGTGTACATCCGAGGATCTGGGGGATTGGCAGAGGTCAGTCCTGAGGTGCGGGGAGGTTACCGCCGCTTGTGGAAACCTGAAAGGAGAGAGGGAGAAGGTTTGAGAAAGGAAAGAGCATGAGCAAATGGAGAAGAGATCACAGAACCAGGAAGAATATGTGCTATTCCCATGATACCGGATGCCTCTGAGGAACTGGCATTCGCAAAGTCAAGATCTCAACACACTACAGATCAGCAATCGATGAGGATTTTTCAAATGGGGCAAGTGGGTCATTGGAGTCAAGAGGATGTGGATGTGAGGAATGCATGAGACAACAGCCCTGTTTTTGGACTGGGCTTCTTACAAAATTAACCACTTGCCATATGTTCTGCAGTTGATGGTTGGTGATGGAAGGGTTAATGTGAGTATTAGTTCTAGAGGGTTTGGTAATCTGTAAGTGGGAGTTCATGGGTGAAAGCAATTAGGGGTGGAGGTGTGCAGGAGATGGGTTTCAGCTGGGTGTTACTGGATTTAAGGAGCTAACCTTGAGTCAGATCTTTGGGAGAAAAGTATTTGTTGTATTTTGGTGGTGGATGCTGTTGGTTTTCCCCCCAGGTCTGTTGGATTTTTTGGTATCCTGACCTGTCTCCTGTAATCTTGGAATCCTGGAACCTTGAACCTTTGGACTGGCTTTTGACTACGGTATAGACTCTTGATCCCTGGACTTTGTTTATTGAACTCTCGGCATTTGACCATTGGACAGAACCCTTTTGACTACGAAGTTATTTTTGCTATCAGTTTTTGTTTATTCTGTAGCTGCGTGCTATCTTTGTGTTTTATATTTTGGACTATAAAAACAGCCAGCAAGTAAGTGCTGTTTTAATTAAACTGTTTGATAAAACTGGGAGTTTGGTTAATCTCTACCTAAATAAGGTAGAGCCCTGGCAACGTGACACCATTCTACTACTAAAAAAATTTCATGTATGTGGAAAACAATGAAGTCTTGGAAAGATCATATATTTTATGTCTTGGGAATAGAATTGTATTCTTCTTCTATGCGCACTGGTTTTGAATGTGTGGTGGGTTTATAAGACTCCTAACTACAGTTTTCATTTCTCTCTCTGTATGGACTAGGATGGATTGAGCTTTGTGAATCATAAAATCATAGAGTTGGAAGAGACCTCGTGGGCCATTCAGTCCAACCCCATTTTGCCAAGAAGCAGGAAAGTCGAATTCAAAGCACTCCCGACAGATGGCCATTAAGCATCTGCTTAAAAGTCTCCAAAGAAGGAGCCTCCACCACATTCTGGGGCAGAGAGTTCCACTGCTGAACAGCTCTCTCTCCCAGTCAGGAAGTTCTTCCTTGTGTTCAGGTGGATTTTCCTTTCTTTCCTGTAGTTTGAAGCCATTCTTCCGCATCCTAGTTTCCAGGGCAGCAGAAAACAAGAAAGAGACACTTTTCCACCAGGACTTACCTTTTTTTTTCTTTCCCTGTTTCGTACCAGCCTTCTTCCTCTTCTTTAAAGGGCCTGAATCCTAAAAAAGCAAGAAAAGGACAGGAAAGGAAATAAAATTTTAAAAGGTAATAGAGACCCAAGCTCCACAGAGCTCTGTATTTAGGAAAAATGGCTTTTAAAATGTTATACAGTGTGTATTTTTGCTTTCCCCCCAAACAAAGCTGACTTACTACATTTACTAACTGCAGTTACATATCTGACTAACCAGGATACATATACAGTTAGCCCCCTACATTTGAGGTTTTAATTTTGCAGATATGATTATTATGTTTTCTCTAGGAATCTCTAGGTTTTCCATGGTGACTCTTGGAAGTTGACTATAGAAAGGCTTTGAGATTCCTAGAGAGAACACCTCTAGGTCCTTCAGCTCGATTCTACAGCATACACGAGCAAACTTTGGCCTTCCTCCAGGTGTTTTGGACTTAAACTCCCATAATTCCCAACAACCTACCAGCTGCCCAGGCTTGTTCTACAGTCAACGGTCAGTGGAAGATTATCATAGCATAACACTGAAAGATGTAGAGGGTCCTGCAGAAGCATTTTCCCAGGTGTGTTGTCAAAGGCTTTCATGGCCAGAATCACTGGGTTGCTGTGAGTTTTCCAGGCTGTATGGCCATGTTCCATAAGGATTTTCTCCTGACATTTCACCTCCATCTGTGGCAGTCCTCCTCAGAGGTTGTGAGGTATGTTGAAAACAAGGCAAATGGGGTATATGTATCTTTGTATACCTTGAAACTGAAAGGCTAATCAATGCTAATTAGGATGGCCAATTGAAACATTCACACCTGCTTTCTTCCACCCTGGACTTTCCACAGCTATACAAACCCCTCTTGCATAGTTTCAACACAGCTCACAACCTCTGAGGTTGCCTGCCATAGATGCAGGTGAAATGTCAGGAGAAAATGCTTCTGGAACATGGCCATGCAGCCCAGAAAACACACAACAACCCAGTTTTTGTGTTTTTTTAACTTTTGCAGCAAATGTAGAGAGAAGTCTGTACACACATTCCTGCTTGCTGGCTTGTGATGCCATGTTATCTACTCTCATTACTGATGGAAACCAATGACCTCTACATTATAACTACTTCAGTAGAAGACATCTGCCCTTCCGCTATGCTACTCTGCTGCTGAGTATGCATGCCCAGTGTGGAACGCATCTCACCACATTAAAACAGTGGATGTGGCTCTTAATGAGACATGCCGCATTATCACGGGGTGTCTGCGCCCTACACCACTGGAGAAATTACACTGCAAGGAGGACCTTCTTGCAGCTTAGCCGGTATTGCACCACCTGACATCCGCCGGGAAGTAGCAGCCAATAGTGAAAGGACCAAGGCAGAGACATCTCCAGCTCATCCCCTGTTTGGGTATCAGCCAGCACGTCAAAGACTTAAATCTAGAAATAGTTTTCTAAGATCTACAGAGACACTCGCTGGAACACCTCAGCAAGCGAGAGTCCAAAAGTGGCAGGCTCAAACCCAGAACCTCAACCAATGGCTGATACCAAATGAGAGACTCCCTCCTGGGCACACAGAAGACTGGGTGACTTGGAAGACACTGAACAGACTGCACCACGAGATGCAGAGCCAACCTTAAGAAATGGGGCTACAAAGTTGAATCCACGACATGCGAGTGTGGAGAAGAGCAAACTACAGACCACCTGCTGCAATGCAACCTGAGCCCTGCCACATGCACAATGGAGGACCTTCTTGCAGCAACACCAAAGGCACTCCAAGTGGCCAGCTACTGGTCAAAGGACATTTAATCAACTACCAAACTCACAAATTTTGTATTTTGTCTGTTTGTTTGCTTTGTTCTGTTGGAAATGTAATATAATTGACTGGTTGCCCTGACACAACAAATAAAACTACTTCAGTATGTGCTGGAAGATGCCTGGGTCTAGCTAAAACCAAGGCCTTTTATCCCCCACAAAACCTCATCTCGTATGGTTTTGTTTGAAAATTGAAAGTAACATTTCCAACCCAGTTTTCTGATAGTAAGAGAAAGGGGTCATTTTTGATAATCACAAAATCAAACAAGAGCATTCGGAACCATGTCTGGAAGACCAGCAGCATTCAAAATATGTTTGAAGGGCCAATGGGGCAAATCAGTAACTTTAACAGAGGGCATTCACCTTTCACGTAAAACCAGCTTGTCTTGAGTCAATGATTTTGCGGAGAAGCAGCAAAAATGTCGAGTTAACAAGGAGTCATAAAAAGACCTCCTCAGCACTCTGCATGAGCTTACGATATCTTCTGGAATGCATCCAACTATCACTTCCAACATCTGGGGAGACTTGGCAGGAGCAGAAGTCAACAAAAGAAGCAGATCCAGTGTGTGATACGAGGGGTGTTCATTAAAGATTTTCCTGACCCACTTCTATTTATCGCAGGACACTGAAACTGCACATGTGTAATCATATAAGTCTCTATAGGTTACGTGCCAATTGACAACTCTGAACTGATAACGGTCTTGATTTTACAGGTGCTGAAGTGGTGTGAAGTTTGATAATGGACCCAGTGGAATCCAAAGCAATCTTCAAGTTCCTTTACTTGAAAGGCCACACACCAAAGGAGATGTTCAATGAAAGAGGTTGATGGTGAGGATTCCCCTTCATATGACATAGTCAAGAACTGGTGTCCTCATAGAATCATTTAGTTGGAAGAGACCTCGTGGACCATCCAGTCCAACCCCCTGCCAAGAAGCAGGAAAATCACATTCAGAGCATCATCAATTCAAATATCATTGGACTTTGGTGGAAACAGCTCCAATTCCACGGCGACCCCACTCTGCTATTGATGAACTCACCATCCAGCAAGTGGAGATCACCATTTTGGAAAATCACTGGGTAACCATTTTCCACCTAGCCCAAAATGTCAAGATTAGTGTGGGGTCCGTGAATAAAACCATCCAAGACCATCTTCACATGCATAAGCTCGCTGGGTCTCCTGGCTGCTCACACCTTTCCAGAAGCAGGAAGGAGGTGAATGCTCTCGGGCTCTATTGACAATGACGTGCCATGGAAACCAGGAGGACGTTCTCAACAGACTGATCACACAGGATGAAAGCTGGGTCCATCACTATGATCCTGAGACTAAAGTCTAGTCAATGCAATGGAAGCATCATGACTCACCGCCTCCAAAGAAGAGACGTGCCCAACTCTCAGCAGGCAAGGTCATGCTCAGAATATTTTTGGACCAGCACAGAGTAGTATTGATGGATTTCAATAGCCAAGGGTACCATGATCACTGGGGCCTACCATGCTTCACTACAGCGGAAATTGCAGGAGGCCATCAAAACCAAGAGACAATGTGGCATGCTCACCAAAGGTGTCCGCCTTCTGCAAGAGAATGCACCAGTTCACAACTCACACGTTGCCCAAATGGAAGAAGCATGCTCCTGTGGCTTTGGAATTCTACCGCATCCCCCTTATTCACCCAACCTCACATCATCAAACTTCCACCTCTTTCCAAGAATGAAGTTATTTTTGAAGGGAAAGCATTTTTCAGATGATGAGACTCTGATTTCCGAAGTCACAACATGGCTTTTGGAGCAAGCTGTTGACTTCTACAAGCGAGGTGTTTACAGTTGCTTAAAAAGGTGGGAGAAATGTGTGTCCTAAGAGGCACTGATGGAGAGAAGGACTCAGAACTGTGCCAAGTTTCATTGCTCTCAGTCCACAGGAAGTGGGTCAGGGGAAATCTTTAATGAACACCCCTTGTACCTTGGGGCAGGTGCCAGGACCTGAGCACCATCAGGTATGGGAGGCAAGGAACACCATACCTGTTTCCAGCATTTCTTTTAATGAAACCAAATATTTGGTACCTTCACAGAAGACCACGAGTAGATCAAGAATCCAGGCTGTTGTGAGTGTTCTGGGCTGTATGACCATGTTCCAGAAGCATTCTCTCCTGACATTTCACCCACATCTATGGCAGGCATCCTCAGAGGTTGTGAGACGTCAGGAAATAATGCTTCTGGAGCATGGCCATACAGCTTGGAAAACTCACAGCAACCCAGTGATTCCGGCCATGAAAGTCTTCAACAATACAGATCAAGAAACCACTTGGGACACAATGCTGACTCCAAGTTCAATAGCTTCAGTATCAAAACTTACTGGCCAACCTGCTCCCTTACACTTTTTTTCGCTACTAAGACATCTCTGGGAGTAGCAATTCACTTTTTAAACTGGTGGTAGAATTCCTCTGCATTGTTTATAATTTTTTTAAACTAGAAATGGGACTTCTGGTCCCTTCTGGACTTGGGTGCATTGTTGATAGTTTGCATGACTCCACAGTGCATTGATTTGAGCATTGGATTACGATTCTCGAGACCAGGGTTCAAATACCCTCTTGTGCACGAAACTCAGTGGGTGACCTTCAGTAAGTCACACTCTCTCAGCCAGAGGAAGACAATAACAAAACTCTTCTGAACAGATTTTGTAAGAAAAACTATGAAAGGTTCCCCTTAGGACTACCAAGGTAAATTACTTGAAAGCACACAATGACAAGTTGCTACCCTGTGGTTTGCATTCTCACTTCCTGCTTCTTTTTGTTGGATGAACACCTGTATGCAATCAGATCTATGGACAGCCTCACCATCTAACCCGCTGTTAAAATGTTATCACCATTAACTGAAGTCCAGCATCCTTAAGACTTACCTCTCCCAATGGGGCGGTGGCTCCAGTCAATGCACTGATGTCTCCAAAGTAGGTAAGAGAGCTCAGCTGGGAACTCAAGGCGCCCTGTCGCCTCCGATGAGCCTTCTCCTTCCGGGTCATATTCAGACGTATCATCATGCTCTCTTCATAGTTGGTTCTAAACAAGGAAGCCAGGGGAGGATGGGAAGAGAACCATTACTCACACCCTTAGACACGTCTACGGTTACCATCAAATATTAAAAATTAACTAGGTATTTTTATACAAAAATATGAGTCAAGCAGGGCCCCCGGTGGCGCAGTGGGTTAAAGCACTGAGCTGCTCAGCTTGTTGATCGAAAGGTCGCAGGTTCGATTCCGGGGAGTGGCGTGAGCTTCCGTTGTCAGCCCTAGCTTCTGCCAACCTAGCAGTTCGAAAACATGCAAATGTGAGTAGATCAATAGGTACCGCTCTGGCGGGAAGGTAACAGCGCTCCATGCAGTCATGCCGGCCACATGACCTTGGAGGTGTCTACGGACAACGCTGGCTCTTCGGCTTAGAAATGGAGATGAGCACTACACCCCAGAGTCAGACATGACTGGACTTAATGTCAGGGGACTACCTTTACCTTTACCTATGAGTCAAGCACTGAAAGGGTTAAATGAATGCAATGATTCAGCAAAAGCTGTAGTTCTATATTAGCAGGTGTGCCTGTAGCTTGGTAGCCCTCAGTCTGTAAAAGGTCTCTGTGATAAAAGGGCTTCTCTGTGTTAGTAGGCCTCAATATGAGAAGGCCTCAGTGTTAGTTCACCTCAGTGAATGAGGCATCAGTCTGAGAGAGCCCTCAGTGTGAGGCAGGCCTCAGTTTGAGAAGGCCTCAGTGTTAGTTCACCTCAGTGTATGAGGCATCGGTCTGAGAGAGCCCTCAGTGTGAAGCAGGCCTCAGTTTGAGAAGGCCTCAGTGTTAGTTCACCTCAGTGTATGAGGCATCAGTCTGAGAGAACCCTCAGTGTGGGGCAGGCCTCAGTTTGAGAAGGCCTCAGTGTTAGTTCACTTCAGTGTATGAAGCATCAGTCTGAGAGAGCCCTCAGTGTGAGGCAGGCCTCAGTTTGAGAAGGCCTAGTGTGAGAATCTTCAGTAAGGAAACCTCAGGTTGAAGGCCTCATGTGAAGCTCCAGTGTGTGAAGGCTGCTGTTTGTAAAATGCTCCTGTGTAAAGCTCCTGTGTAACTTTGGTGTGAGAAGCAGCTCTGCGAGAGCGAAGATATTTATCTGCATGAGAAAGAAGCCCAGCGTGGAAGCAAAGAAGGAAGCATAAAGAAATTTGTTCATGTTATGGAAACCTTGTTTTTGTAAATAGTGCAACCGTATTATTTTGCTATAATGAAAAGCCTCCTATGGAAGATATAACCTTGGCCTGTGTGTTTTCGTTCTTTTTATCACTTTGGGTTACTGGTGCTGGGTCACGCTGCTGCTAATAAGTTACTCTGCTGTACATTTATGAGGAGGGTCTTTTGTTAATAACCCCACTTGCCCAACAGTGGTATTCTATCTAGGAATCTTTAGGTTCCTCTAAGCTACATCCAAAGAAAGTGGACAAAATAAAACTACAGAAAATGTTGACAACTAACAGTCATTGTTATATATCTTGTAGGCTGCTCTGAGTCCCCTTCAGGGTGAGAAGGGCGACATATAAATGTCGTAAATAAATAATATATATAAATAAAAATGCAATGTTCGTTTGTGGGATTAACATAACTCAAAAACCACTGGAGGAATAGACACCAAATTTGTACACAAGGCACCTATCAGGCCAACAAGTGACCATCACTCATAAAAACACTGAAAAACATAGCAGAAGGGACTTAAAAACCCCAAAAAATACATTACAACGCAAGCGTAAAACCGCATGCATTTACACACACAAGACACATACAAAGAAGGAAGGAAGGAGAGAAGGAGGGAGAGGAAAAGAGAAAGAAGGAGGGAAGGAGAGAAGGAAATAAAAAAGTGAAAGAGGGAAGGAAGGAGAGAAGGAACGAAAGAGAGAAAGAGAGAGGGAGGGAAGGAAAGAGACAAGGAAGGATGGAACCAAAGAGCAAAGGAAGCGAGAAAAGAAACAGGTAGAGAAGGAAGAAAGAAGAAGGGAAAGGAAAAGAGGGAAGGAAGGAAAGAAGGAGGGAAGGAAAGAAGGAGAGAAAGAGGGAGGGAAGGTTGGCCACAGCAACGCGTGGCGGCTACAGCTAGTAATAAATAAATTGTGTCGTGTGAAGGCTTTCCCAGGCTTGCTCTTTGCCCAGTTCCCAGCATTCCTCTGCTTATGATGAGGCTCTCAATCCCCTTTCCTTCTTATACCTAGGACTGCATAGACACACACATAAACCTACTAACCGGTGTTCATCCTCTCGACTCTGCTTGGAGGAGTGAGCAAAGCGTCCTTCCCGGATCTCCTCGGGGGCGTCAGAGTATTGCTCTTTCAACTCCCGGATGATAGAGCTGCTGAGAGCTTTTTTCTTTGCCTGCTCCAGCATCTTCTTTTCTCGCTCCACCTCTGTTTCATCTGGCACAGAGACACAGCAACAGAGCATTGTTATCAGCAGCCCAAGTCAACCTTCCCCAATGGTGCATCTACACCAGGCATTGACAAATTTTGGCCTTCCGGGTGTTTTGGACTTCAACTCCCACAATTCCTAACAGCCGGTAGGCTGTTAGGAATTGTGGGAGTTGAAATCCAAAACATCTGGACCAGAACTTTTATGGATGTTGGAGTAGCTCTTTTGAAAGATACCTACATAAATGAGATATATCTTGGAGCTGGAACCCAAGTTTGCATATTAAATTCATTTGTGTTTAATAGACATCTTATACACACAGCCTAAGAATACCTCCTTTATCTGAAATGCTTAGGATCAGAAGTCTTTGGGTTGTATTTTTGGAAAATCTGTATTGGCATATATGTACATCAATGAGATTTCGTGGAGCTGGGACCCAGGTCTGAATTTTAAATTCATTTACGTTTCATCGCTGAGCCTGGAACCCCAGGTCTCGGTGGTAACCAGGAGAGGTTTTGCACATTTAAAACTTGTGCGCCAGCTGCGCCCATTCCTTGAGAAGTCTGACTTGCCCATGGTGGCCCATGCTCTTGTTACATCCCGAATAGACTACTGCAAAGCACTCTATTGTGGGGATGCCTTTGAAGACTGCCCGGAAGCTTCAACTAGTCCAACGATCGGCAGCCAGGTTGCTCACTGGAGCGACGTACAGGGAACATACAACTCCTTTGTTATGCCAACTCCACTGGCTACCGATCAGCTTCCGAGCACAATTCAAAGTGCTGGTTTTAACCTTTAAAGCCCTAAACCAGTGGTTCTCAACCTGGGGTCCCAGATGTTTTTGGCCTACAACTCCCAGAAATCCCAGCCAGTTTACCAGCAGTTAGGATTTCTGGGAGTTGAAGTCCAAAAACATCTGGGGACCCCAGGTTGAGAACCACTGCCCTAAATGGTTCTGACCCAGACTACCTGTCCGAACGTATCGCCTGCCATGAACCATCACAACGTTTAAGATCTTCAGGAGAGGCCCTGCTCTCGATCCCACCACTATCGCAAACACGGTTGATGGGGACGAGAGACAGGGCCTTCTCAGCAGTGGCACCCCGCCTGTGGAACGCCCTCCCTAGAGATATCTGTTTGGCCACCTCCCTCTTGTTATGGGACCTGGTTATGGGACCAAGCGTTTGATCAGTGAGCAGCAAGTGGAAGAAGATCACACAATTTATGGCAATGAATTGACCCAGACTGGTTTTTGGATTTTGATTTTAACGGATGTGTCTTAATTAATTGTTTAAATTTTTAATATTTTGATTGTACTGTGGTTGTTTTTATGATGCTAGCATCGTATGATGCTTTTGTTAGGCCGCCCTGAGTCCCCTTTCGGGGGGAGAAGGGCAGGGTATAAATACAGGAAATAAATAAATAGACGTCTTAAACACCAAGCCTGAAAATAATTTTAAACACAACATTTGTAATATTGCTGTGTGTGTATTGTAAATAGTCAGAAAGCAAATGTGTCACTTTCTTAGCCATTCTATGGACAATTTTGGGAGATTTCTGATTTTCCAATAAGGGATGCTCGACTTGAACTACCACTTCCCATTATCAATACTGGTCAACTCAGAATGCAAGTACTTGACATACTGTAATGTACAGGCACCAGGCGAGGTGGGACATATTTCCTGCTCCCTCCTTTTGATGTCCCTTTTGCAGAACTCGTTGCACCATCAGCAGCTTCTCCATCTTCCTCCTCTGAATCGCTGAGCTGTGAGTAAGACAAAAATAGTGCTATAATTTCCAAGTATCACTTCTAATAGTAAACCAGGGAAGGCTAGAGATACACCTACATTGTAGAATTAATGCAGTTTAATACCATTTGAACTGCCATGGCTCAATACTATGAGATCGTGGGATGTATAGTATGGCAAGGCCTGATAAAACTACAACTTCCATGACGCTACAGCATTGAGCCATCACACTAATTTCTACAGTATAGATGTACGCTATGATAATAATCTCAATCACATTTCAATCTCTCTCTTTTTAACCTAACCATTTATTTTCCAGTCCCAATTCAAGGTGCAGGTTTTGACCTACAAGGCCCTGAATGGTTTGGGACCCACCTATCTGCGCGACTGCATTTCCGTCTACGAACCCACGCGACCTCTTCGATCTTCCAGAGAGGCCCTTCTCTCACTCCCACCCTCATCGCAAGCGCGACTTGTGGGGATGAGAGAGAGGGACTTCTCTGTGGTGGCCCCTCGGCTCTGGAATTCGCTCCCCAGAGATATTAGGCAAGCCCCCATCCTGGCAATCTTCAGGAGGAGCCTGAAAACTTGGCTGTTCCAATGTGCCTTCAGTGATTGAATGTATGATAATCCCTGACCAAACTCTGCATAAAATGCCCTCAGAAGCACTTTATTTTCTGGTTTGTGCAATTAAATCCTACCTTATCCCCCAGATCCCCTTCCTGATATTTTACACTGACCTATCTCCCAGTGTTTTAAAATTTAATCTTTGAATTTGGCCCTGCCCACTGTGATTATTTCTAGTGTTTTAATGTTTTGATTTTATATTGTTGTGCTGCTTATTTACATTGGTTTTGTATTTTATGTTATTTTATTTTCTGATTTTTTGTTGTGTTTATGTGTTATATTGTGTTTACTGTATTGATAGGCGTGGCCTCATGTAAGCTGCCCCGAGTCCCCATCTGGTGGTGGGGTATAAATAAAGTATTATTATTATTATTATTATTATTAATAATAATAATAATAATAATAAATTGTTTGATGGTGTTTTAGCATTTTAAGCTTATTTTTAATACACACTTCTAGTAGCTCCTGGTGATGCAACGAGTTGCCAGCAGGATTCGAATCCGGGGAGTGGGGTAAGCTCCCATCTGATAGCTCTAGCTCAGTGGTTCTCAACCTGGGGTCCCCAGATGTTTTTGGCCTACAACTCCCAGAAATCCCAGCCAGTTTACCAGCTGTTAGGATTTCTGGGAGTTGAAGGCCAAAAACATCTGGAGACCCCAGGTTGAGAACCACTGCTCTAGCTCCTCATGTGGGAGCATGAGAGAAGCCTCCCACAGGATAAAACATCTGGGCGTCTACTGGGCAACGTCCTTGCAGACTGACAAGTCTCTCACACCAAAAGTGACTTGCAGTTTCTCAAGTTGCTCCTGCACCAGTCAGCTTTAGTTTATTGCATGGTGCCCTGAGAACTTAAGACATCAAGTAGGGTATAAATAGTTGATATAAATACTAGGTTTGGGCAATCCATGGTTCTAAATGGTTCTAAAGTACTTACAAAACTAAAGTTCTGGTGGTGAAAATCTCAGAACTCTAACAAAACTCTCAAAATTTCATAATAAATGGCAGTTCCTAATTGGTTTTGTCATTAAAATCACCAATAATGAAATAATAATTAAATTTTGAAAGTTTTGTTAGAGTTCTGAAATTTTCACCACCAGAACTTTAGTTTTGTAAGTACTTTAGAACCATTTAGAACCATGGATTGCCCAAGCCTAATAAATACATAAACATCTCAGACTAGGGCTTCTTAAACTTTTCCCACTCACAAGCCCATTCCACCTGAGAAATTCTGATGTGACCCCAGGTATTTAGGTACCTAAAACAGACACACAAATCAAATATTTACTGATAATAAATTGTCATTTGCAAGGCTTGCTAAATAGGCAGATTTTATTTTTTTGTGGAATAATGCTCAAACATTTTCTGCATATTGTTGCTAAAAAAATGTATGTAAACAAGTGATATTGGGATGCCTTTTACTACTACAGTTTTTTTGACTCCCAACAATGAGCTAAGGGGACCTCATTTGGGGTTGGGACCCACAGTTTAGACTGCATCCTGACTCCTAATCCAGAGAAACTGACATTGGAACATTCCCTTGCAAAGATACTAATCCAGGCTCAAGGACATCAGAAGCTCTTGCTCTTGTACCAGAATCCCCCCCATTTTGGTCCATACCTTGCTCATCAGGTTGCTTGGATTAGGCTTGAATCTCAATGGGTCGTTTTCACCTGGAACGAGAACATTACCCCAGATGGGGAGATTTAATTACACCTTCTTAATGCCCCAAATTGGACCCTTTCTGCCATTTGAGACCATCCTCACAACTCACTCAAAGCTCCTGTCACAGCTGCTTTCACCAGTTTGTCCACTTGGTACTTCAGCTTCTGGTCAATGGGCCTCATCTTCTCCAAGACCTGTCAAAAGATAGAAAAGAAGACAAAACTTCAGATCTGCTTTCTTTGGGCCAGCATTCTGGGTCCAGCTTTTGAATTTTTTTCAAGAAATATTAAAAATTAACTAGGTATTTTTAATTACAAAAATGTGAGTCAAGCACCGAAGGGTTAAGTCGATGCAGTGACTCTGCAAAAACTACAGGTCTATACAAGCAGGTGTTGCCTGTAGCTTAGTAACCATCAGTCTGAGGTAAACCTCAGTGGGAGAAAGGTCTCACAGTGTGAGGTAGGCCTCAGTCTGTGAAAAGGCCGAATATGAGAAGGCCTGGTGTAAGAATCTTCAGTGAGAGGAAGCCCAAGATTGAAGGCCTTGTGTGTAAAGCTACTGCGCGAAGCTCTAGGGTGAAGGCTGTTGTGTGTAAAGCTACTGTGTGATGCTCCTGTATAACTTCAATGTGAGAGGAGGCTCTATGAGAGCGAAGCTGTTTATCTGTATGAGAAAGAAGACCATAACACTTTATTTGTGTTATGGATTCCTTGCTTTTGTAAATAGTGCAACCATATTATTTTACTACAAAGAAAAGCCTCTGGTCTGTGTGTTTTTGTTCTTTTTATCACTTTGGGCCACTGGTGCTGGGTCACACTGCTGCTAAGAAGTTACTCTGCTATACATTCATGGGGAGGGTCTTTTGTTAATAAGCCAACTCTCCCAACAACTTTTAATTTGAAAATGCCCATGATAAATATAAGACTTATAAATCACTGCAACACATGCATTGTTACTGACCTACAGGCCTTGCAGACCCAGCCATGGTCATTTGTGATTATCCATTCCTTCCCACTGTAAAAATAGCAAAATCCCAACTTGAGACCGCTCCCCAGCCAAACTACTCACGGTTCGGGTTTCCACCAAACGTAGCAATGCAGGATGTTCAGCCACGGAGCGTCCAGATGTTTTCTCCAGGATGAGATGAGACAGGTCTTGGAGGTAGAGAAGCAGCAGCTGGTCCTTCACCTCCAAGAAACTGAGACCCTGAGGATGAGGGAAAGTGAAGACTATCGATTTGAGAGGAAATACAGTAATGGCAGAACCCACAAAACCATAAAACATCTCTAAAAATTGCTGTCTCATTATCACAGGTACTTTACTTACGTATAAAGCTTTTTTGTCTGTTGGTGGTACTGAAACTAATGTTGATCTTACAATTGATGGCTGCTTAGAATAGAAGAAATATCGTCTTTTTTCAGGTGTAGATCAAGTAAAATAATGGGCCCCAGGTCCCACAAATAGGAGTGTTGTACTATAAGTACATTTTAACAATTTGTATCAGGCATGGGCAAACCTCCAAGTGTTCTGGACTTCAACTCCCACAATTCCTAACAACCTACTGGCTCAAGTTTTCCCATGACTGATTTATGTTCTCTACTTTCCTGTTTACATATTTTAACTGAATCATGTACAAGGACAAGTGATCATGCTTGAACACAATGAACCCACTCTATGTCCAGGGCTACCTTAAGGCCAGGTACATGATCCAGGAAGTGACCTTTGGAGCCCAGGAATGAGAACTATGGGTCCAACTTAGAGAGGGATTCTATCAAAGTTATGGAACTTAGAAATCTCAGAAACAAAACTACTAATTCACTTCCTTGAAGCACACTACAAACCTCAGGATTCCCTAGACTGAAGCTATGGCAGTTAAGGTAACATCAAAACGCTTTAACTGCACTATAGACAAAACGGATTCTAATTCAGCTTCATCCATATCTTCTTAAACAACTTACCTTCTCAGTGGGGTAGTTCCCTGCCCGTACTTTCTGTGCCAGACCCTGGACATGACGGGTCACCGCAATAACCTATAGTAAAGCGAGGGGAAGAAAGAAGCTCTTAGAAGAAGAATGGACAGGAACTATGTTGCTATTGTGTGCCTTCAAGTCATTTCTGACCTATGGCGACCCTATAGTGGGGGTTCCTTGGCAAGCTTTGTTCAGAATAGGCTTCTGAGGCTGAGAGAATGTGACTTTGTGGGTTTCACAGTCAAGCAGGGATTTGAACCCGGGTCTCAAGAGTTGTAGCCCAACACTCAAACTACTTCAGTCCTTCAACCAATTACAAAATGGACAATTGGTTCAGTGATATTTATATATTTGTGTTGCTATTATTATTATTATTATTATTATTATTATTATTATTATTATTCCCTGCTTTATCTCTCCCGAAGGATAATTTCATCAAAAAGGAGGAAACCATTAAAATGAACAAAACCTGACTACCAGTATTATTTTATTTATTTATTTATGGTATTTATATGCCACCCTTCTCACCCCAAAGGGGACTCAGAGCGGCTTACAAGATATATACACACACACACACACACACACAATATATATATTATATTATTAGCATAGCACAATATCAGTATTATACATTACTATATTGTACTATACCATTATATTGTGATATTAGTAGTAATATTAAATGTAATATAAAATATAATATTATAATATAATATATTGTATATACATATAATATTTATAATATTATATTGTAATGCAATATAATGCTAATAATAATATGATATTATAATTATATATTTATATTACATGTAATATTACTAATAATATTACGATATAGTGGTATGGTGCAATATAGCAATGTTTAATGCTGATATTGTACTATGCTAATAATATAATATTGTATGTATCTATACCTTGTAAGCCGCTCTGAGTCCCCTTTGGGGTGAGAAGGGTGGCATATAAATGTCATAAATAAATAAATTATCATTATTATATTGTATTACGTTATAATATTTTTAAAAACTCTAAAATCAGGACAGTAAATAAAGAACAAGACTTAGAAAACAGAGGAATTTCAGACAAGAAACTAACAGGGCCAGCTAATAAAGGATTCCTCCAGGGCAGGAAGCAGCCAGGCTTTTAAGCTGCAAGGCTTTTCAATGTTAATCAAGGTGGCCAATTGCAACATTCACACCTGCCTCAAGCAGACAAGAGTTCTTTCTCCCACCCTGGACTTTCCACAGATATATAAACCCCAGTTGCCTAGTTTCTAATAGACCTCACAACCTCTGAGGATGCCTGGCATAGATGTGGGCAAAATGTCAAGAGCAAATGCTTCTGGAACATGGCCAGACAGCCTGGAAAACTCACAGCAAACCAGATTCAAAACGGCTTAACATATTTTATGTTTGTACATTTTTGACTTTGTTGTACCTGACCTCAAGTCATCAGGAGAAGCAGGTAATAAATTTATTATTATTATTATTATTATTATTATTATTATTATTATTATTATTATTGTTATTATTATTATTATTATTACTCGCTGTAACCGCCACGTGTTGCTGTAGCCAACCTTCCCTCTTTCTCTCCTTTCCCTCCTTCCTTCATTCCCTCTTTCCTTCCTTCCTTCTCTATCTCTTTCCTTCCTTTCCCCTTTTTCTTTCTCTTCTGTCTCTTTTCTTCCTTCTTTCTTTCCTTCCCTGCCTCTTTCTCTACATCGTCCCCACTTTCTTTGCTCCCTTTCCTTCCTTTTTTCCCTTTTTTCTTTCCTTCTCTCCTTCCTTCCTTTTCTAACTTTCCTTTCTTCCCCTTTTTTCTTTCCCTCCCTCTTTCTCTCTTTTCTTCCTTCTCTACCTCTTTCCTTCCTTCCTTCCTTCTCTCTTTGCTTCCATGCTTCCTTCTCCCTTTCATTCTTTCTTTCCCTCCTTTTTTTCTTTCTTTTTTCTCTCCCCTTCCCTCCCTCTTTATTTCCTTTTTTCTGTGTTGTCATTTAGCTTTTCATCATTTAGCTTTTGGGGGGCTTTTCAAGTCCCTTCTGCTGTGTTTTTCAGTATTTTTATGAGTGAAGGACATACATTGGGTTGTTAGGTGTATGCCGTCCAAATTTGGTGTCATTCCGCCCACTGGTTTTTGAGTTCTGTTAATCCCACAAACGAACATTACATTTTATTTATATAGATTACTAGCTGTCCCCTGCCACGCGTTGCTGTGGCCCAGTCTGTTGATCTGGAAAATAAAGTAATGAGAAAGTGTTGGTTTCTAATATATGGAATTTCTTTATGCTTGTGGGTAAACGGTATTTCTTGCTATTTCTTTGTCAGTGTGTGTGAATCATATCTATCTATCTATCTATCTATCTATCTATCTATCTATCTATATCTATGGCTGGATGGCTCTTTGTCAGGAGGACTTTGATTAAGTTTTCTTGCCCCGGTGAAGGGAGTTGGATTGGATGGCCTTCAGTATTTTCTGTTGGTCGTGGGTGTTCTGTGTGCCCCGATTCTGTTGTTTGTGGGCTTCAGAATGCTCTTTGATTGTAGGTGAAATGTGAATCCCAGTGACTACAACTCCCAAATGTCAAGAACTATTTTCCTCAAACTCCATCTGTTTTCATATTTGGGCATATGGAATATTCGTGCCAAGTTTGGTCCAGATCCATCCTTGTTTGAGCCCACAGTGCTCTCTGGATGTAGGTGAACTACAACTCCCAAATTCAAGGTCAATGCCCACCAAACCCTTCCAATATTTTCTGTTGGTCAAGGGAGTTCTGTGTGCCAAGTTTGGTTCAATTCCATCATTGATGGAGTTCAGAATGCTCTTTGATTGTAGGTGAACTATAAATCCCAGCAACTGCAACTCCCAAATGACAAAATCATAATTTTTTGAGTGATGATCACTCCTTGTGTTGTGAGACATTTTGTTGCCAAATTTGGTGTGATTTCATTCATTGGTTCTTTTGTTTTTAGGGTACTCATTATGCACAGAGCATTTTATATATATAGATTATTACTATTATTATTATTATTGTTGTATTATTATTATTGAAAGGCACTGCAGACTACCGGTACTTCAACCAGAGAAGTCAGCCATAGCAGAGCACCTGATGAACCAGCCTGGACACAGCACATTATTTGAGAACACAGAAATGCTGGACCACACCAACAACCCCCATGTCAGACTACACAGAGAAGCCATTGAAATCCACAAGCATGTGGACAATCTCAACAGAAAGGAGGAAACCATGAAAATGAACAAAATCTGGCTACCAGTATTAAAAAACTCTAAAATTACAACAGCACAACAACAGAGAGGAAACAACCAAGCGCATCTTAACACCTCTCAACAAAAGATTTTCCCAGGCTCAGCCAGACCTTCAAATGCTAATGAAGGTGATCAGTTGAAACATTCACACCTAGCTCCAGCAGGGAAGAGCTCCATGCCCCACCCCAGCCATTCCACAGATATATAAACCCATTGTCCTAGTTCCAACAGACCTCACTACCTCTGAGGATGCTTGCCATAGATGCAGGCAAAACGTCAGGAGAAATGCCTCTAGAACATGGCCCTATAGCCCGAAAAAACCCACAAGAACCTAATTATTATTATTTCTTACCTGTTCTTGGAGAGACTTCAATAAGCCCAGTGCTGCAGGCAGGTCTGCTTCCACTCTTTCCTGCATCATGGAAGAAAAATAGGAAATGTATATACTTTTACTTATATTTTTATGTTCAGATCTGCTCACCCAAGCCTCTAAGACACTGAACAGATCCAAGGTGCATCCACACTGTAGAATTAATGCAGTTTGGCCCCACTTTAACTGCTTTGGCTCAATGCTATGCAATCCTGGGAGTCATAGTTTGGTGAGGCACCAACACTCTTTGGTTGAAAAGCCTAAAAACCTTTGAGAACTACAATACCCCTCTGTATCATTTAAAATTTTGAGCACTTTGAGTCCTAATTTTGGGGGAAAAGAAGGGCATAGACATAAACAAACATGACAACAATAACACCTATAATTAATAATCATATAATAATATAATATAATCTATATATATAAATCTGTTAGGTTGGTTCAACGGGACAGCAAAACTCAAAAACCCCCCAACGAAACTTAACCAAAATTGCCATGCCCATAACACAACCCACAAGGTACAAACATATCTACTCAAAATGAAAAACAACACAACAACACACTCCCAAAACGGCAAAACAACAAAACTAAAAAAAAACCCAACGAAACTTAACCAAAACTCACATGCCCATAACACAACCAACAAGGTACAAACATATCTACTCAAAATGAAAAACAACACAACAACACACTCACAAAACGGCAAAACAACAAAACTAAAAAAAAACCCAACGAAACTTAACCAAAATTCCCATGCCCATAACACAACCCACAAGGTACAAACATATCTACTCAAAATGAAAAACAACACAACAACACACTCACAAAACGGCAAAACAACAAAACTCAAAAAACCCCAACGAAACTTAACCAAAATTGCCATGCCCATAACACAACCCACAAGGTACAAACATATCTACTCAAAATGAAAAACAACACAACAACACACTCACAATACGGCAAAACAACAAAACTCAAAAAAACCCAGAAACTTAACCAAAATTCCCATGCCCATAACACAACCCACAAGGTACAAACATATCTACTCAAAATGAAAAACAACACAACAACACACTCACAAAACGGCAAAACAACAAAAAACTCAAAAATCCCCCAATGAAACTTAACCAAAATTCCCATGCCCATAACACAACCCACAAGGTATTTATTTATTTATTTATTTATTTGCTTCATTTTTATACCGCATTTTTCAGCCCTTAACAGGCGACTCAATGCGGTTTACAGTGCAATTAAAACATAATACAACAACAGGATCAACACATAGATCCACAACAGTTAACAATCAGACAAGACAAATCAACAAAACAACATATATAACGCCTCAGTTGAAATCAGATCCGTTCTCATAGTCCTTGTGCCGTTCCCATGTTCCATTTACCGTCTTCCTTGATTGGTTGCATTGCTTAGCCGAACGCTTGTTCATAAAGCCAGGTCTTAACCATTCTCCGAAACGTCAGCAATGAAGGTGCCTGTCTGATGTCTGCCGGCAAGGCATTCCATAGCCGAGGGGCCACCACTGAGAAGGCCCTGTCTCTCGTCCCCGCCAAACGCGCCTGTGACGCAGGCGGGATCGAGAGCAGGGCCTCCCCAGACGATCTTAATGTTCTAGTCGGTTCATAGGTGGAGATGCGTTCGGAGAGGTAAGCAGGGCCAGAACCGTTTAGGGCTTTATAGGCTAAAGCCAGCACCTTGAATTGTGCCCGGGAGCGGATTGGCAGCCAGTGGAGCTGGCTCAACAGAGGACTGGTATGCTCCCTGAGTGCCGCTCCCGTTAGCAACCTGGCTGCCGAGCGCTGGACCATCTGAAGCTTCCGGGCAGTCTTCAAGGGCAACCCCACGTAGAGCGCGTTGCAATAATCAATCCGGGATGTAACCAGAGCGTGGACTACCGTGGCCAAATCAGACTTCCCAAGGTACGGGCGCAGCTGGCGCACAAGTTTGAGTTGTGCAAATGCTCCCCTGGACACCGCCGAAACCTGGGGTTCCAAGCTTAGCGAAGAGTCCAGGATCACACCCAAGCTGCGAACCTGCGTCTTCAGGGGGAGTGTAACCCCGTCTAACACAGGCTGTAACCCTATACCCTGTTCGGCCCTTCGACTGACCAGGAGTGCCTCTGTCTTATCTGGATTCAATTTCAATTTGTTCGCCCTCATCCAGTCCGATACAGCGGCCAGACACCGGTTCAGGACCTGAACAGCCTCCTTAGTAGTAGGTGGAAAGGAGTGACAGAGTTGGACGTCATCTGCGTACAGATAACACCGCACCCCGAAACTCCGGATGATCTCTCCCAACGGCTTCATGTAGATGTTAAATAACATGGGGGACAATATTGAGCCCTGCGGAACCCCACAAGACAATGGTTGTGGGGTAGAGCAGTTGTCCCCCAGCAACACCTTCTGAGTACGGTCCTCTAGGAAGGACCTGAGCCACTGCAGAGCAGTGCCACCAAGGCCCATTCCCGCGAGGCGTCTCAGAAGGATACCGTGGTCGACGGTATCGAAGGCCGCTGAGAGGTCCAGCAGAACTAACAGGGACACACTCCCCCTGTCTAGCTCCCTGCGCGACCAAGGCTGTCTCGGTACCATGTGCCGGCCTGAAGCCAGACTGTGCCGGATCTAGATAATCAGTGTCTACCAAGAATACCTGGAGTTGTGAGGCCACCACACGTTCCAGGACTTTGCTCAAGAAGGGAAGATTGGAAACAGGCCGATAGTTGACGAATTGAGTGGGATCCAGTGATGGTTTTTTCAACAGCGGTTTTATCACAGCTTGTTTTAAGCTGGCTGGAATTTTGCCTTCCCGAAGGGAGGCATTAACCACCACCTTCACCCACTCGGCCAATCCCCCTCTGGCCTCCTTTAGAAGCCAGGATGGGCAGGGGTCTAGGATGCATGTGGTTGCCCTCATTCCTCCAAGTATCTTGTCCACATCCTCAGGTTTCACCAATTGAAATGAATCCAACAAAATCGGATAAGCAGATGCTCGTGTTACATCCTCTGAGACTGCCGTTAACATGGTGGCCAGGTCAGAACGGATCAAAGCGACTTTGTCCGCAAAGAAACGAGCAAATGCTTCACAGCGACTCGAGTTGTCAGGGTTCCCATCCGGAGTGGTGGGATTTAATAGACCTCTGACAACTCGAAACAGCTCCGCCGGACGGTTCTTTGCGGACGCAATATTGGCCGCAAAGAAGGATTTCTTTGCTGCCTTTATTGCCACGGCGTATGCCCTTAGAAGGGCAACAAACCGTGTTCGATTTAACTCGCTCGGGTCCGAACGCCACACGCGCTCTAGTCTCCTCTTTCTTAGCTTCATTGCTGCCAGATCCTCGTTGAACCAAGGGGCTGGTTTAGCTCGGCTACTTGAGAGGGGACGTTCTGGAGCAATCGTGTCTATTGCCCTGGTCATCTCCCCGTTCCAGAGGGACACCAGGGCATCAACAGGATCACCAACCGAGGCGGCGGGAAAATCCCCAAGAGCCGTCAGGAATCCATTCGGATCCATAAGCCTCCTGGGGCGGACCAACTTAATGGGTCCCCCACCTCTGCAGAGGTTAGGAGGTGCAGTAAGTCTAAAGCTGACCAGATAGTGGTCGGTCCATGGCAACGGAGAGATGGATAACTCCTCAACACCACCACTCTGCTCCCATCCCTGACAGAAAACTAGGTCCAATGTGTGTCCAGCACTGTGAGTGGGGCCAGATACTCGTTGGGACAGCCCCATGGTTGCCATGGAAGACATGAAGTCCTGAGCCGCTCCTCCTAGGGTAGTCTCGGCGTGTACATTGAAGTCCCCCAGCACAAGAAGCCGCTGGGACTCCAATGCCAGGCTCGAGACCACCCCTGCTAGCTCAGGTAGGGAGACCGTAGTGCAGCGAGGTGGGCGGTACACTAACAGAATCCCTATTCTGTCCCGGTCACCCACCCTCAGATGGACACATTCAAAATTAGTTGACTGCGGGATGGGGCCTCTGGTCAGGGGGATAGAATTTTTGTAGACTACCACAACTCCGCCTCCCCGCCCTCCAGGTCTTGATTGGTGCTGTACGGAGAAACCTGGTGGACAAAGCTGGGTTAAATTTACTCCTCCAGCTTCGTCCAGCCAGGTCTCCGTAATGCACGCCAGATCTGCCCGTTCTTCCAGAATTATATCTTGGATGAAGGTTGTTTTGCCGTTGACAGATCTGGCGTTCAACAGCACCATCTTCAACCCAGAGGGACCGCCATCCTGGGTACACCAACTTACCACGTCAGGAGACCGATTACAAGTAGTTAAATTTCTTCTTCTGTCCCTAGGCCGAATTTGAGTTATTAGTTTTTTGCTATTTCTAGGCCGAATTGGCGGTCTCCCTTTCCCGCATCTCCCCCTCCCCATTATGATTTCTATGGGGACCCCTCGGCTAGTGGAATACCCTTCTTCGTCCATATTGCACTTCAAGATCGTAACTTCATCCCATAATTCAATCCAACTTATTTGCTCTATTGATCTCTCTTTTTGCCATACTACCTCCTTCCAGTCCTTTCCTAACCCTGCTACGCTATTTCTAGGATTTTCCCATCCGCTCCACCCTCTATCCCCTTCCCAATCTACCAACAATACTGTTAGCAGGTACCAAGGGATGAGAGCCGACATGRRTAAGCAGCGTTGGTACAGCGTTGGCATAGATTGCCAGAATTCAAGTATCAATAGGTACTAAAGTGCAAGATGTTAAAGTTAGAAGATTGATTAAAGTGCTCTAGCCTATTAYGTTGTTCAAGAGCTAAAGTGCTATARTGGAGGCTTACTAATATTAAAGTGCCTGGAATTTAAAGTGCAGATTATACTCAATGGAATTAAAGTGCTGGCGGATGGGGAATCAGCAGCGTTGGCCAAGATAGTTGTAATAATAATATGATAACAATGCAACAACAATGCAGTTTGTATAGTCAGTTCTCAATTTTGTTGTTATATCTAATTCCCATTTTGCCCCCCTCCCCCCAATACACCAGTCATAGGGGTAGAGGGTAGAAAAATATCTACCCACAACCCAGAAGGTACAAACATATCTACTCAAAATGAAAAACAACACAACAACACACTCACAAAACGCAAAACAACAAAACTCAAAAAACCCCAACGAAACTTAACCAAAATCGCCATGCCCATAACACAACCCACAAGGTACAAACATATCTACTCAAAATGAAAAACAACACAACAACACACTCACAAAACGGCAAAACAACAAAACTCAAAAAACCCCAACGAAACTTAACCAAAATTCCCATGCCCATAACACAACCCACAAGGTACAAACATATCTACTCAAAATGAAAAACAACACAACAACACACTCACAAAATGGCAAAACAACAAAACTCAAAAAAACCCCAACGAAATTAACCAAAATTCCCATGCCCATAACACAACCCACAAGGTACAAACAGAGAAAGAAAAAGGGGGAAGGAAGGAAAGAGATAGAGAAGGAAGAGGAGAAGGAAAGATGGGAGGGAAGGAAGGAAGGAGGGAAAGAAGGAGAGAAAGAGGGAAGGTTGGCCACAGCAACGCGTGGCGGGTAAAGGTTGTTATTTCTATTATTATGATGCTATTATTCTTATGAGACCCTTTTAGGGGGAATGGGAGAGGTGTCAGGTCCCAGAGGCAATGCATTGCATTATTGTTATTGTTATGATGGTGGTAAATAAAAGGAAATAAAAAGTGAAAGAAGGAAGCAAACAGGGAGGGAAGAAAGGCAAAGGAAGAAAGGGGGAGGGAATGAAGGAAAGAGAGAAGGATGAAACCAAGTAGTGAAAGAAGGAAAGAAAGAAAGAGGTAGAGAAGGAAGAAAGGAGAGAAAGGGGGAGGAAAAGGGGGAAGGAATAGGTAGGTACCTCTCTTTCATAATAGTCCAGATATCTAACCTCAACTTTGATAAGTTTTACTATAGGCCACAGCAACGCGTGGCAGGGCACAGCTAGTATAATATATAATAATCATATAATAATCATCATATTGTATAATCCCCAATAATCCCAGTTCTGAGCCACTTGCAGTGAATAAAGGAATGCACTCTACACATGCTCAGGAGCACCCTCACCCTCAAATCCAGAGTTCCAGCCAATGTAGTCTCACTCCCTGCCATGGCCTCCATGAATGCCCTCACGTGGAGAGAGCCTCCACCGGCTGAAAAGCAAGGCCCGCCTTCTCTTGACATTTGGACCAATCGCGTCTCAGCAGCGGCAAGTCTAGACCAATCGTTGGAAGCCTTGCTCCTCGCCGGAGCCGCTTCAGCCAATCACGGGAAGCCTGCGGTGGAAAGGTTCCTGGTCTGCTTCCGCCCCTTTTGGTGGCGGCGTGCCAGTCCTTTGGCTGAGAACCAATGGCATCTAAGCTCCCGCCTCCTGGAGCGAGGCTTTGACCAATGGGATTACGCGTTTGGGTTGCCTGTCGTATTTAGCGACCAATCAGAAGCAGGAAAAGTGATACAGTATTAAAGAGGTTGCCTACCTCGGAGGAACCAATCAGAGCTGTCAATTGGCCAGACGGGGAACATTTTAACCAATCAGCAGCCTCTCTGCTCTTTTCCAGCATCTTGCATTGAGAAAAGTATTCAGGATCATGTGGTTGGAAGATACCTGAGTCCAGAGGCTGCCAACTTTGTGAATAAGGATGATGATGATGATAATAATAATGAATGAGGATGATGATGGTGGATGATTATGATAATTTATTTATATACTGTCATGAATGTGCTTTAGAAGCAAAAGTGCCTAATGCTCTGGAATCTTGGGAGTTGTAGTTTTGCAAAGTGTTTAACCACCTTTGCCAAAGAGTGCTGGTGCCCCATCAAACTACAACTCCCATCATTCAATAGTATTGAGCCATGGCAGTTGAAGTGGTGCCAAACTGCTTCAGTTTGCAATGCAGATGCACTCATAGATCTATAAGTGTGGCCTCCAAGAGAACATCCATACTGCAGAATTATAGCAGTTTGATCCCACTTTAAATGCCATAGTTCTATCCTTTGGTATACTGGGATTTGTAGTTGGTTGTTGCAGCAAAGTTCCCTGACAGGGTGCAGCTACAATGTAGAATTAACCCAGTTTGATACCACTTTAATTGCCATAACTCCATGCTATGGAATCCTGCTTCAGTTTTGCAATGCAGGTGCACGCATAGATCCATAAGTGTGGCCTCCAAGAGACCATCCACACTGTAGAATTATAGCAGTTTGATACCACTTTAATTGCTATGACTCTATGCTATGGATTACCGCTTCAGTTTTGCAATGCAGCTGCACCCATGGCTCCATAAGTGTGGCCTCCAAGAGACTATCCGTACTGCAAAATTATAGCACTTTGATCCCACTTTAGGTCCCTTAGTTCTATCCTTTGGGATACTGGGATTTGTAGTTGTGGCATCAAAGTTCCCTGACGGGGCAGCTACACTGTAGAATTAACCCAGTTTGATACCACTTTAATTGCCATGACTCCATGCTATGGAATCCTGCTTCGGTTTTGCAGTGCAGGTGCACCCATAGATTTATAAGTGTGGCCTCCAAGAAACCATCTACACTGCAGAATTATAGCAGTTTGATCCCACTTTAAGTGCCATAGTCCTATCTTTTGGAATACTGGGGTTTGCAATTGGTTGTTGAACCAGAGCTCCCTGACAGAGTGCAGCTACAATGTAGAATTAGCCCAGTTTGATACCACTTTAATTGTCATGACTACGTGCTATGGAATTTTGGGAGTTGTAGTTTCATGAGGCACCAGTACTCTTTGTTGGAGAAGACTAAATAAGACGTTAAACTGAAAACCACACTGCATTAATAATTGAGATGAACAAAACTATAAATCCCATAATTCCATTGCATTGAGCCATGGTGTCACACTACATTAATTCTCCAGTATAGATCTACCCTGAGTTTGTCATTGGTATATAAAGATGCTCAATACCGTTATGCTGTTTTTCTTCCAGTGAATCTGGGTTGTTGTAAGTTTTTTGTTCTATATGGCCACATTCTAGCAGCATTCTCTCCTGACATTTTGCCTGCATCTATGGCAGGCATCCTCAGAGGTTGTGAGGATGAAACATCAGGAGATGCAGGTGAAATGTCAGGAGAGAATGCTTCTCGAACCTGGCCATATAGCCCGAAAAAACTAGAACAACCCAGTGATTCGGGCCGTGAAAGCCTTTGACAATAAACAGTGACTTAACCAATCTCTCTCTCTCTCTGCCAATGGAGGTCATATAGAGGATTATCCAAAATGTGCAGATTATCTGACCAGTTTTTAAAATATGATGTCTTTTTTTAATGTTATTTTGCTTACAGCAGGAGAAAGAATCCCAGGGGAGCCAGGAGCGAGGCTGTGCGCATGCAAAACAACAAAAGAGTCTTTTGGCATTAAAACGAAAACAGAGGCCGCAATGATTGTGGCAGGAGCTTTGGGGATAATCACTTGCCGAGAATTTAATCCAAGGACGCTTCTTTTCATATGCAAAGCGGCACAATCTCTCCCTCCTGTTTTGTGTTCATCTTCCTATGGGAATAGTTGTCATTAAGATTTTTCTCTGGTCTGCAGCCTAGCTATGAAGGCGCCACTGTTTGGGGTTTCCCTAAACCCTACTTTGATTGTTTTGTAACTGCGGCGATTACAAAGAGAGATGGCCAAGGTCGAGTTATAACATAATAGTTGCTGTGTGTGCCTTCAGGCCTTCTCTGACTGCTGCTGAACCTATCACGAAGTCTCCAGGACTGAGCGTATTTGGCTCGCCCACTGGATTGTGGCCAAGCAGTGATTTGAACGTGGTACTCCAGAGGAGTTTCACATCCAGTCTCAGCCACTGATTAAGGTGCTGGGTTTTAACCTGCCACTTTTGGACTCTTGCTTGCAGAGGTGTTCCTGCGAGGAGGAGGAGGAAGGAGAAGGAGGAGGAGGAGGAGGAGGAGGAGGAGGAGAAGAAGAGGAAGAGGAGGAGGAGTAGGAAGAAGCAGGAGGAGGAGGAGGAGGAGGAGGAGAGGAAGACGAGGAGGAGGAGGAAGAAGCAGAAAGAGGAGGAGGAGGAGGAGGAGAAGGAGAAGGAGAAGGAGACAACGACGACAACTGTGGCACAAGCCAGTCAAGGTGGTCCCAGTGGTGATTGGCACACTGGGTGCAGTGCCTAAAGACCTTGTCCTGCACTTAAACACACTTAAACATATGCAAAAGGCCACCTTACTGGGATCTTTTTCCTTCTAATGGAAGGAAAAAGGAAAAGGAGCCAACCAAGGGCAAGATGGATGGATGGCATCCTTGAAGTGACTGGATTGACCTTGAAGGAGCTGGGGATGGTGATGGCCGACAGGGAGCTCTGGTGTGGGCTGGTCCATGAGGTCATGAAGAGTTGGAATCAACTGAACAAATGAACAACAACAACACTGGGATCTGTACGCATTATTCGCCGACACATCACACAGTCCTAGACACTTGGGTATCTACTTCCTGACAGATGTCAGGTGATGCAATACCAGCTAAAGAGTGTAATTTCTCCAGCGGTGTGGGATGTAGACATCCTGTGATAATGCGGCATGTCTCATTAAGAGCCACACCCACTGTTTTAACATGGTGCGATATATTCCACAATGAGCATGCATACTGAGCAGCAGAGTAGCAAAGCGTAAAGGCAGATGTCTTCACTGTGTCTGTTTGTGATCCCCAGGTTGTGCCAGTCAGCTTTTGTATGATATTATTTCTAGCACCCATGTTTTGCTTAATATCAAACCAGTGCTTCTTATAAGTCAGAGCACAGTCCAGAGTGACTCCCAGGTATTCGGGTGTGCTGCAATGTTCCAGCGGGATTCCATCCCAAGTCATCCTCGGGCTCAAGATGCTTGTCTGTTTTTAAGATGAAAAGCACATGTCTGTGTTTTAGATGGATTAGGAATCAGCAGGTTTTCCTTGTAATAGGCAGTAAGAACACCTAAAGCTTCAGATAACTTCTGTTCAACCTTTTCAAAGCTCCCTGCTTTAGCGGTGATGACACAATCATCAGCATAGATGAAACTCTCTGTCTCTTCTGGCAGTGGCTGGCCTTTTGGGTTAATGTTAAATGTTGATGGAACAAGCACGTTCCCCTGAGGCAGGCTGTTCTGTTTCTGCCATCTGCTTCTCTGGCCCTCAAACTCAACAAAAAAGCTCCTGTTTCGTAGCAGATTTCCTATGAAGTGGGTGAGGTGATAACCCTTTGTGATATTACACATTTTTCTCAGGAGAAGGCAATAATTTACAGAATCATATACTGCAGACAAGTCTATGAAGACAATGTATTGTCGAAGACTTTCATGGCCGGAATCACTGGGTTGTTGTAGGTTTTTTCGGGCTATATGGCCATGGTCTAGAGGCATTCTCTCCTTCGTGGGGTTCAGAATGTTCTTTGATTGTAGGTGAACTGTGAATCCCAGTGACTACAACTCCCAAATGTCAATGTCTATTTCCCCCAAACTCCATTTGTGTTGCTATTTGGGCGTATTGAGTGCTTGTGCCAAGTTTGGTCCAGATCCATCATTGTTTGAGTCCACAGTGCTCTCTGGATGTAGGTGAACTACAACTCCCAAACTCACAGTCAATGTCCACCAAACCCTTCAAATATTTTCTGTTGGTCATGGGAGTTCTGTGTACCATGTTTGGTTCAATTCCATCGTTGATGGAGTTCAGAATGCTCTTTGATTGTAGGTGAACCATAAATCCCAGCAACTATAACTCCCAAATGACAAAATCATAATTTTTTGAGTGATGGTCACTCCTTGTATTGTGAGATGTTTTGTTGCCAAATTTGGTGTGATTTCGTTCATTGGTTCTTTTGTTTTTAAGGTACTCATTATGCACAGAGCATTTATATATATATAGATTGGTCTATATTTTAAAGCGGTGTTGAACAGTGTTAATTCTTCATTGTAGATCCACTCGACGCCAATGCTTCCTGGAGAGAAGACAATGAGCAGGTAGAATGAGAAACCGCACGGAGAGTGTGTTTGATATTACTCTTTTTGGACCAAGTTTGGGGAGACCACCCAGACTTTGGCAAGGGCTCTTTTGGAACAATGGGCCAGTGATATCACTGCCTGGAATGGAAACTTGTAAAAAAAAATGCACATACAGATTAAGAGAGAGAGACAATGGGATTCCAAGCATGCCTTCTCCTTACCTCCCCCTTTGCAAGA